ATATATGTATATATGTATATTATAAGAATTAATATACAATATAGATGAATAAACTATTTTAGTTGGAATACAACAGTTTATTCAACTATGTCTTTGTGTATATTAATTCTACATATAAAACTTATACAGTTGTCACTTTTAGGATAACATGGTATAATTTCAAACATAATATAATTCTGAACAAAATATTTAAATCCAAATTTGAGGTTCAAGATTGGTAATCTTGATTTCCATTATGAAGAATATACTAAAGGAAATTCCCCATCAAACAAAAAAAAATCAATTTTAAACTTCGAAAATTGAATTTAAATCTTATCTTTCATTGAGAATTGTATAATATTCGAAATTGTACCACCTTACCCTATGATTTTTACTATCACTATGTCTTTTTCCCGGAGTGAATAACACACAGTGCTGCAACAATTCATGATATTGAGATTCGACGTAAAAACTTTCATAATTACGCCAATCATCATCAATAATTAAACAATATTTCATAAGATACAAACGTTGTAATAAAATACATTAAAGCCGCGCAGTCAGTAAAACACCAATTTATGAAGAAGAGACGAGCAATTTTTTTTTTCAAATAAGATTGATTTACCTGGAGGACAATTACACTCGGAGATGTCGCGTTTGGGCCTGAAGACCGCTGTGGAATCGAGTCGTTGCGTCTGCCGCAATTGCTCCTGCAGCTCCGCCTTGAGCCTCTGCACCAGGACTTCCACCGGCGACGAAGGATCCTGGACGCGCATACAGCGTGCTTCCAGACTTGCGATCCTGGATTCCAAGCCGAGCTCGCGGTAGAAGAGCACGCCGGACAGGGCGAAGCTGGCGAGGCAGAGGGCGCACAGCGCCCAATTGAGGCCCGCGGTCCCCGCACGGAGGTCCCCGTCGCGGAACTTCCGTGGCATCGACGCCTCTAGGCAGGACGGCGATGATCCCTTGCCCGTTCCCGGGCCCGACGGCCAGGACTTGGCCGCCGGGTCGTTCTCCATCGCTGTCGCTGTCGTTGTCGCGCACGCACGCACGCACGCACGCACTCGCGGCTACCCGGGGCTCCGGTTACGAGCGCTTGTCGAGCGTCCCTAAGCGGCGCGGCGCGTCATAACCCGTGCGATTCACGTCGATACACCGTCGCGCGCGGATCGCGGCGGCGGACTTTCGCGTGGAGGGACGATTAAATAGTAAATACGGCGACGTTCTTACCCAACCGACGGCGGCGATCGTTACAGACAATACAGACGTCGCGGCGTCATCGTCCATCTGGAATGCATCTTCGCCCGCCCGATCTCGCTTCAATGACGTTTAATTTTGATGTTTGATTTCTGCGATCGACTCTCACCACTCTGCGTGCGCGATTATTACTTCCGATATTATTTCCGATTTCGATGCCGCGATCTTAATTGTAACGCGAACGTTATGTGCGAACGACCACGATCGGGACACGCGCGAGCGCGCGTTCCTCGTTCGGTATAAAACTGCCGCGCGTTCCTCCGCGGCAACGTTCAGCACGTTACGCTATCAATACTGTGTCGGCGTCGCGTTTTCGCGGACTGGCGCACTTTTCACACATCAAACGATAACAGCGAGGGCGGCGACGGCGTCGGTCGTCGTCTCGTGCCGCTGCTCCGTTATTCTCCCTCTAACCCTTACTTCCTGTCGCCTTTCTCTTTCCTTCGCCGACGCGAACGGGACGGTCGAAGAGAAACGGTACGAGAGAAACGAACGCACCGTCTGCCGACGGCGGCAAACTTCGCGGCGATCTTCGCCGCTGGTTAACGAAAAAACAAGATTTACGGCAGTGATAAAAAGACGAGAAAGAGATAAAAAGAAGAGATAGGACGATATGTCGGCAAACGTCGCGTGAAGCGGAAGGAAACGCTCGCTTTTCGCGTTCTCGGACCTCACAGCACGTCACCGTTACGAGGGAGAAAAGCACGGGAAAGCGCGCATACGAAGCGCACAGTGTCACATTCGCGGTACGACTGGATGTGGTGGGGCGACACTACGACGCGAGGACAGAGGGTTCGTCGCTTCGGCATCGCTCGGCCGCCTTCGGCTCGGCTCGTCGCGCGCCGCGCCGCGTCGCGTCTCGCCTCGCCGCCGCGCAACCACTTCGCTCTAACGGCCCGCCAAACGTGCACGTATGCGATACGCATTGCAAATCCAAGTGTGTAATAAGTGCCTTCATATACGTGTGTGATTTATCCTGCCTACAATGGAAGAAATATTATGGCAACAGGAATAGATATTAAATATTAGAGAGATAAAGTAATTAAGGATGTAGAAATTATGTGTGAATGCTTTAAGGATGTATTAGACGTACAGTCTATGCAAAGAAAGTTAAATTTGAAAATTGAAAGTATGTTTAGTATATTTACTTTATTAATATAAATTATATATATATATGAAAGTTGTATGAATAATATTATATTTTTATTTAATAACACATTT